TCACAACTTGCTGGAAAGGAGAATCCGCACAAAACTTTACTAAGGCCCGCCGCGAGACTTTGTGCGAATTTTCAAACTTTCATTGTTCGTATTTGGCGCTGATTTTTTTGGCGCAGAGATATCCCGAGCCTATCTGCTGGTGCTGAAGTACACGGCGCTGAAGTACACGGCGTTGAAGTATACGGCGCTCAAGTACACGGCGCTGAAGTACACGCCGCTGAAGTATACGGCGCTGAAGTATACGGCGCTGAAGTACACGGCGCTGAAGTATACGGCGCTGAAGTATACGGCGCTGAAGTACACGACGCTGAAGTATACGGCGCTGAAGTACACCGCGCTGAAGTATACGGCGCTGAAGTACACGGCGCTGAAGTATACGGGTCTGTAGTATACGGCGCTGAAGTATACGGCACTGAAGTATACGGCGCTGAAGTATACGGCGCTGAAGTACACGGCGCTGAAGTACACGGCGCTGAAGTACACGGCGCTGAAGTATACGGCGCTGAAGTACATGGCGCTGAAGTATACGGCGCTGAAGTACACGGCGCTGAAGTATACGGCGCTGAAGTATACGGCGCTGAAGTACACGGCGCTGAAGTACACGGCGCTGAAGTATACGGCGCTGAAGTACACTGTATACGGCGCTGAAGTATACGGCGCTGAAGTATACGGCGCTGAAGTATTCGGCGCTGAAGTATACGGCTCTGAAGTATACGGCGCTGAAGTATACGGCGCTGAAGTATACGGCGCTGAATTATGTGACGGTGTAAAATTCGGCACCTACATTGTACATATAGGTTCACGGCGTGTTTTTTTATTTTATTTTTCCCCAATTTTTATAGAAGTGCACATGCCTACTTAGATTGGAAGAGAAAACAACAACAACAACAACAACAACAACAACAACAACGACGACGATGACAACGACGACGACAACAACAAAAGCAACAAAGCCTAAACCAGCAAGAGAAAATGGATCCACCATTGCTGGCCCTCATGTGGCAAGATTGCTGAGGGTTGTCTGTAAAGATACTGTCTTCTCCAGGAGGTTGTACTTTGGTCTGATCAGACTGTACAGGGTAGTGTTATCAGCGAAAGAGCTGAGCCTTAAACCATGCGAGAGCCATTGGTCAATGTCGACAGCAAATAATATGAAGAGTGTGGGGCTAGAGACGCTTCCTTGGGGCACTCCGGCAGTGATGGGGTACTTCTTGTAAGCGTGGCCTCCATTTGCTCTGGAGTGCTGTAAGAAGGTCTCGGCTGTGCCTGATCCCGCCTAAAACAAAACTGGCTGTCAGGCAGCAGGTGATTGCGCTCCAGGAAATTGGTGACTTGTTGGTTGATAATACTCTCCATAACCTTGGATAAAATGGAGAGCAAGGATACAGACCGGTATTTGGATGGCCTAGAGCGAGGTGGCTTCGTGTATACCGGGACCACGTGAGCGAGCTTCCATTGGGACGGTCCAACACCGGCACCAAAGCTAGCACTAAACAGTTACGTGATGGGAGCGGCAAGTTCCTTACAGCCTGCTTTCAACACCCGAGATGGAATACAGTTAGGTCCAGATGCCTTTGGATGGGACTAGCCTTGCACGATACCGCTGGACTGTAGCTTCTCGGAAATGTACGTGCTCTAATGGCTCGTGGGTCGGGGTGGTCACCACAGGATGGTCATTGACAGTCAGTTCTTGGCCGCCCAGGCTGCATTTCGAGGAGAAATGCTTTTCCAGGCACTCAGCCTTCTCTGTTGAGGCGTGATACTCCTTGCCATGGCTGTCGACTAGCAGAGGAACACTAGCGGAGTTGCGTGTAACACCAGTGACCTTCTTCATGTTGGTCCACCATTGTTTGTCACTAAGTTACTGGCACCTGAGTGTGTGGCGCAGGCGATTGACGCTTGACATATGAGCGATCTGCTATGTGTGGACAGTTCGGTTGACAGGAGCAATGCAAGAGGCCTTGAGGTCATCCTGGTGCGGGTTCCGCCTCCACTTCTTCCACTGCTTCTCCTTTGCCTCTTCAGTAATGATGCCCTCTGGAGTCCACCAGTGAGGGTCAGAGGAACGAGTGGTGAAGACTTTGGTGGGGATGTACTGGTCCATGCCTTGCAGAATGGCCGAGGTCAATGCCAAGATCAGTCCCTTTCCACTCGACATAAGTACCACCTGTGTGTTCTCATACATAAAATATTACCAAATAAATACCCTTGCTTATGCAGGTTTATAACTGGTTCTCCGAAACACGGAATACCCGGAACTCATTCAGTCTTCACGCGCTGCCTCCTCCATATTCACTACATCCCCGATCTTTGCTGGCTATGTGTTTTGGGCAACATTAACAACGCAGGCCAAGACCAGCACGTCGATGGATACTTTTGTTGCTAAAATCTTTTCTCAATTATAGGTTTCATGTATTTGCATAAAATCCTGCTGGTTTGTCTCCTCCATTGCCTTCTTTGCTTTTTATTTAACTCGGATGGCGAGCCAATTAAATTATTGTGAAAAGAAGAAGGACAAAAATGTTACGAGTTATGACTAAATGTCCACCAACGTAACCAGATCTTATACAGTCAGCGAGCGCGACAAAATGGCACAAAACTGACAAGGAGTACTGAGACATTCGGCGACCTGACACCTAGCTCCAACACGTCTCCCAGGCGCAAACCAACAACCTTCCAAATTGGAAGGCTTAGGTTTGGAAAGCTCGGAGATGGGAAGGAAAGCGCAACGAAGAAGAGCACGAGCTACGCATCACCGCAACAAAAAATGCCGAAAGTTACTGGATGATGACGAAACTAGTAAGACTATTGGACAGACCGGCCTTACTACAACTCGACGACGCAAAGCAACAGACCACCCAACTTGGGTGGCTCAAGTTTATGTAATGAACGTAGAAAGGGAAGACGAATAGTGACAAACCGAAACGTCAACACCCTACTGAACTCCACTATCATGTATGAATTGATGGACTAGTTACGTACAATAACAAGTTGTTCAGAAGGTCTACCGATGAGACACACTGATTGTGACGTCGTGATGTTGTTGTTGTTGTTGTAGAAGTTTATTTAACGTCGCACCACAAACAGGCGATTTCGCCTCCTTTGATACAGTCATGTGGACGACAGAATGATGCATTCCATATTACCGCATGGTACATACTAATAAGTTTACTACTCGCTGTGCCTTGCACGCCGCGACACACTTGGACTATGCATGCCTTTTCCGTGTGATGCGTCGTATGCACCACGTGGCTGCTGTTATTTGAATATATTTGAATCTCTCGTGCTTATCTTTCTGGATACAACCTAATTGTTTTCCGTTCTGTTCTGGCGGTTTTTGGTCTTGCCAAGACGTTGTCAGCCAGACAGTTTTGTTTGTCAGGAAAGTAATGAAAGTTGATGAACACCTCTGAAACTCACTGTTCTATTCGGCCTCATTTCCACACGACGAACGTTTCGCCGTATAGGTCATGACGGCTCATCAGGTGTGCAATATTTAACTCGGATGGTGAGCCAATTGAATTATTGTGAAAAGAAGAACAGGTCGCCAAATGTCTCAGTACTCCTTGTCAGTTTTGTGCCATTTTTTCGCACTCGCTGACTGTATAAGATCTGGTTACATTGGTGGACAGTTAGTCATAACTCGTAACATTTTTGTCCTGCTTCTTTTGCCTTTTATTTGTATTCTTTTATCTGTTTTACTGCTGTGGTTGGCTTTCACCCTTGTCTCAGTTTTACTGGCCGTCATCATGATGTGCCATAAGATAATTATATAAATACAAATACACAATCTGCGGACAGAACTGTTTCGTCCTTTGTGGACTCGTCAGCGCATCACAGAGGAAATGAGGCCGAACCTGATAGCAATGGAAATAAAAATACAAATACAAATACAATCGCTCGCGAAGCAGAGTGGGATCGTCTGACATTATCGACTACCAGTCGTGACCGCGGTAAAATGCCCTAAGTCTGTTCCAGTCAGCACTGTCGTATTTCCACACCTTGTGAGAGGTTGTAGGATCGCGGCGTGCGGAAACCGCTTTGAATTTGCATATCAAAATGGCATGATCGGACCTGCCGAGGGGAACAAGCACGTTGGTTGATACTGTGGTAGTGAAGTCGGAGAGAACTAGGTCTAACGTGTTTTCACCGGGTGTTGGATGGTGTATATGCTGGTCGAGGTGGTGGGTAGCACACAACACTCCCAAGGTCTCTCCAGCGACAGTTGTCTTTTTACTGCAAAAGCCACTCTTAACAACTTCCACGGGTGAACAAGAAGACTGAAAAGGCAAGACTGAAGACTCACGAATTCCGTATGCTCATCTCACGCATGCACGCGAAACAAGAGACAGTTTGGGGGATATCATCATACAGAGAGGAAGTACATTGTTCTACAACTCCTGCCCCTCCCCCCCCCCCTTGATGACATTATTGACATTCCACAAATATATTTTGATGTTATTTGTTTGTAGTGAGAATTCAAGTCGGCAGGAAAACCATGAGCTCCCATAAAGGGAGCACCACACTCTTCCCCTGTTTCTTTCTTTGTTTACTTTATTTGAACTCTTAAATCCAAAAACGGGTACATTGAATAAACGACCAAAATGTTCCACATACACAACAGCAACATGTAGCAACAGGAAACACAGCAAAAGAGAAAAGCCACAAACGAACAAGGTAACATTGTAGCACAACTCGACAAACCAAAAATGCGACAACAAACTATACGCGAGACAAGAGACACGGGAAATTTCATCATTCAGAAAACCAAAACATCGTTCAAAAACCAATATAGTACCCTGTACATATGCTGTTTTGCAATATATAAATCAAAGACGTGACTGTGTTGATAGCGAAGGGTGATAGGATGGGTGCAGCAGCAAATGCAGTTTAGGCCACGATACTACTTGTACACACACACACTTGTCAGATCATTCTATTGCTCAAATTACACACAGTGCACGCCAACACAGAAAGCATGTTTACAAAACCGTACACCCTTAACTTAAAACCGCAATTCCTGGCGCCGCTATCTTCTGATTTGGTGCTCCTGCCGGCATTGCCGTGTTTGAACTGGAGATGCTGGTCCGTTAGAGCAGTGCCTGTTTAGTTTCTTCCACGGGCAGGTTTGGTTTGCTTCTCGATATTCGCCTTGTGGGTACGCACATGCCGGTTGCGGCTGAAGGACTGTGAGAATGCCTGTTCACAGCCCGAGATTGTACACTTATATGGTTTGTAACCTGTGTGTGTTCTCTTGTGCACAGTTAGACTATACTTCCTCTTGAAGGTTTTTCCACACTCTATGCACTGATATGGCCTCTCGCCAGTGTGCACCGATATGTGTCTTTTGAAGTCCGACGGATACGAGAAACTCTTATTGCATTCCGAGCAAACTAGTTTGGCTTTGGCAGATTTTGCAGGTTCTTTACTCGACGGCTGCTGTCCAAGTAAGTTACTCTGTGGTAGTGGCTCGCTAAGGTCGTGTTGGTATGGTGGCATTACCTGCAACCTGGGAATATGTGGCAGCTTGTGATCTTGCTGTTGTCGTCGTTGTTGTTGTAGGCCCCTTGCTAGTGATGGTGATAGGAACACATTGCTACCACGCGATGGCGCAAACACATCTTGATGTAATCCTGTATTTACATCGGAGCGGATTACGGTAGAAACTTTTGGCAGGTAGGGAAAGATTGCTGCATCACTCAAGCCGTTGAGTAGGTTAGGCTGAAGGAGTGGTTCCGCCGGACCTGGGTTTAAGGAGAATGGTGTCGCTGAGTTATCAGGTTCTTTCATTGACGGCTGCTGCCCGAGGAAGGTGCTTTGTGGAAGTGGCTCACTGAGGTCGTGACGAAGACTTGGTGGCATTTCCGGTAAACTTGGAATATGTTGTCGTCCTTGCCTTGACACTGCCATCGCATTCATGTCACCAGTAGGCGCAAACACATCATGAGGGAATCCTATATTTCCAAATAAGCTGACGCCTTTAGAAACTTGTGGCGGGAACGGAAAGAGTGCTGCATCACTCAAGCTGTTGGAATTATGCTGGTTATCCTGCATTAGGCTATGCAGAAGGATCGGTGCCGCCTGACCTTGGTGGAAGGAGAATGCTGTCGTTGGGTTGTCAGGTTCTTTCATTGATGGCTGCTTTCCGAATACGTTACTCTGTGGTAGTGACTGGCTGAGTTCGTGTGGACGTGGTAGCAAGTCAAGCAAGCCGGGAATATTTGGCGGCTGGAGATGCTGTCGTCTTGGCCGTAAGGCCATTGCTGGCGCTTGTGCTGCCGTCAACTTACTATAACCCAAAGGCGCAAACGCATCATGATGTACGAGGGGTGTGTTCATATTGGAGCCCATGCCCGTAAAGACTTCTGGCAAGGAGGGCAAAAGTACTCCATCAAACAAGTTGTCATAGTGCTCGAGATCCTTAAGCTGAAGATTTGGTGCCTCCAAACTTTGTCGGTAGGATAATGGTGTCGATGCGCTGCGTGATTGGTCTTGTGGAACCAAAGCATCGTGAGCGTAGGGGTTTGATGCTACACCACTCTGACTGAGTTGATCAAAGGTAAAATGACTCATCTCGCCTGCCTTGCTGTTGTCCATGGCAAAGACTAAATACACAAGTTGAAACAGAAACAAAATGTAGAAGTTCTGAACAACGGTGCCAGTGAATATGCAGGAATCTGGGTGGTGGTACGAGTTAATAGGAAGTTGATGGTGATGAGAAACGATGTTGAGGTGAAGGTGGGAATGTCTCTCAGTTAGTGGTGCTGGATTTTAGCATGGTGAGTGCTGCGGATAGATACAGGTGAAAACGGGTAATTGTTAGGGGTGTAGGTGTGTACTTTAACGATAGCCTAGGTGTTCGTGTTCGTGGAAGATAGACGTTGCAAATGTGGCAAGTCATCCACGAAAGGATATGTGTGTCAGGGTGATGGTGTGCTGCAGTAGTCTGCCATCAGCTGAAGGCGGGTGAGAAGTGGTAATCTGGGCTAAAATTGACAGGCTGTGATTGAAAGTAGAATAGAGATTCACGTGTGCAATGTGGGTGTGCATGCACTTTTGCAGCATTGTGTAGTTTTTTCATTTGGAGAGAGAGAGGGGGGGGGGGTAGCCATCATAATAATCATACTCTTTGAGGTGTCGATCGGTTGCTTCTTGCCATAATTCACACTGAACGCATCTCCTGTTTTAGGATAATATAGCAGCACTCACATGCATGGTTATCTGCCAATCTGTGCAGTTTTCTACCTGAAGAGTTGAGGTTCTACTCTCGACATAACGTTAAGTTAGATTAGAGAGGTTCTGAAAAACGAAAAATTAATGTTTTTGCTTTGTTTGTTTGTTTGTTTATTTAGAATCGAAGAACAAACAGGCAAATTTGCCAAATTTCATTATATCGACTAAAAAGGAGAATTAAGTATAAAAGGCCAATAAAGGTAATAATACTGAGTAGAGTGGGTAATGAAGTATTAAAAGCAAGTTAGGCCAGTAAAGGAAATGATAATATAATGTGTGCAAACCTTTGTTCTACATCATGAAGTGATCGAGTAACTTCGCACGAACTTTCGCAACTTTGCACTCGCCACTTGTACTTGTTGTCTTGGTGGTATGGCAAGTAACCTGGAAATATGTGGCGACTGGATATGTTGTCTTCCTCGGTGTAAGACCATTGCTGGCTCTGGTGCTGATATCACATTACTGTAACTCAAAGGCGCAAACACATCATGATGTGCGAGTCCTGCATTTACATTGCAGCTCTTGCATGTGGAAACAGCACGCCATCAACCTAAGACTCTTACCCTATTGACCATGACTTGTCACTTTTGCCAATTCTACCTTCCACGCACACCAACACCTATTGCCAGTCTGCAATCTGACCATTTACGTTTTCTCACCTGCAGCGATCCTCAACACTTACCACCCACAACTTCAGCACCACTAACTGAGAAATATTCTCATCTGCATCTTACCACTGAATCTCATCACCATCATCTACTTTTAAACCATTTGAAAAAAAGCTCTATCCATCACCGAGAATCCTGCGTATTCACTACAATTGCTGGTCAGAATCTCAAATATTTCTTTGTGTTTCGACTTCTGTACCAATTCTTGGCCATGGACAATAGCCATGCACTCAGGATGAGCTATTTTGCCTTGGATCAACTCAGTCAGAGTAATGAAGCGGCAGGTACCTACACTCATAACAGATTGGTTCAACCAGGGAGTCGTAAAATACCGGGAGGCGACACGCCACACATTTCACGATCCGAGGATTGCTGCACTCGACCCGCGAAATTTGATGCGTGATTGAAACGTCGTCGTCATCTTCTTTTTCTCAATTGTTTTTGCTATGCTTCAAGGCCTATTCTGGATCTCCAGAGCGAAAGCTGGTTGTTTCTGATACGAACTACGCATTACCTTAGGTTGAGCCGAGGCTTTTAATTTTTTTTGGGAAGTTCACCGCTTTGGAGACGACGGAATGTCAAGGTAAGTTATTCACGAAATGTACTCAAATTTGAATTGAGTAAGTGCGAATGACACCCTGTTTTCGGAATAGTTCTACACTAAACACACCATGCCCATGGCCCCTTCATGTTGTCCAAGTTCCATTCTCGGTTTGTGTGAAGTTTCGAGATGAAGATCGATGATGCACTCACCTTTTCATGGAAGGGAAAAATGTAGCATATCAAACAGAATCTATGCAGCATTTGATGCCACTATCCTCATTCTTCTGCATTCAAAGTGTTTCACATTATGGTCCATGAACTACACACAATATTTGTCATTTCTTAACTGTTCATAGCTGTTCATACTTCGAAGTACTTGAAGTAACTGTGTTCTGAACACATTGCCTTCAGGAAACGTGAGGCCGAGTCGCCTGACCGACTTAGCAAAGTTCTCTGCGACAAAAGTCACACTATGGGCAAATGCACTCAAGGCGAATACCCGTAAATACCCTGTATACTGCTTGATCCACTTATAACAGAAGCATACACACACACGCACGCACACACACACACCATGCATACGCCCGTTGCAAGAGAAGAATGCAAGTCTGCAAATGCACTGGATGTGCACCCACAGATTTTCTCTTATAGCAACGATAGCGAACAAGATCTGAATGAGACAGATCAAGACTTGCATCAGATAACTGTATAATCCACACAACTGGCAAAGCCATGTGAATCGACCACCAATGCACAACACACATACACCTTTGGACCTTTGGATGCCCATTGCTCCGTGCAATGATAGCATCAGGAGTTGCAGTATTTCCTGTGGCGAGTTAGATCATTGGGCCGACGGAAGTCCCTGCCACAGCCGCAAATGAACACTCTAGGCTTTGGCACAGCCGCACACATACACACACACACACACACACACACACACACACATACACACACACACACGCATGCTCGTGCAACATTCACATGTCACTGCTTCAGTTGTTTTTAGCTGTGTCATATTGTGTCTTATACAGAGCTTCACTTTGGGAAAAGCTGTTGAGATGCTGGAGAGCACTTGTTGCCATGCTTGCGAAATGCCAGCACCATTGCATGCCTTCAGCTGGCACACTTCCTGGCGTAGCAGATTTCCAAAACCTGATGCCTTGTGTAACTGTGTCCTGATAACATGCAGGAATGACTCCATCGCCTCAGTAACACCCGCCTGTCTCATTGTCAGCAGTTCGCAAATTCCATGGATTATTTCATCTTCCATAGGCCTGTACACCATTGTGGCACTGCCACTCTTACATGGATCTGCACATAGGCAAAGCAAGGGTTGAGGGCGGAGGTTTACATATAATGTCAACAATTTACATACTAGGTACACACGTAATTTTCAGGACATGAATAAAATAATATCCTGTCACAGTTTCAACACTGTCACATGTCATAGTGAACAGACAATACACCGTGGGCAGACTCCCATTTTTCGGGTGAGTTTGGGGCGCTTAGTATGCTACAGATTATACATTCGCGTTCACAAGGCCAAGACGAGACCAAAAAATGCAGACGAGAGAATCTCACCAGTAGTCCACAGCTGAACATCTCCGCAACTCAGGTCACCAAGTGGATACGTGGCGTCATCTACATCTTCCACGGTGGACTCATCACTTTGGCAGGCATCTCTGTCAAGCTCCATCATCCTTTACCCCGTCAAGGCACAAACTTAGAATCACCAAATCAACTGCTGACACTCGGACGATTCCTTGGGAGCAGGATTATTTTTTTGATTTTTGGGACCAAACAGCGAACGCATGACCTGCGCCGCTTTGACCTCATGGGGATTCTATATTTTTCCCTCAGCACTCGTGCCCGAGCTGAGTCAATCATCCGACGCGGTGTGTAATAAGCTGGGCCGCAAGTCACACAATCATCATGCCGCCTGTGTTTGGACCACAAGCATGGCATAGGGGATACACTCATGTATTCAAGTACAATGTACATGAACAGTGCCGCGTCGCTTCACTGTACACAAATGCATGCAATGCACGTACACTGTTTTTTTTGGATGGCTGTATTTTTATTTTTTTCGCCCTCCCTCATTGATTTCATCGAATAAGGTGACGCGAAACATAGAAAAAAACGGCGTGGCCTTAGTTAGTTTTCTCCAAAACGTACGGGATTATGCTAGCGTAATGCTAGTTTCCAGAATGTGCTAAATATGCTAGATATAATGTTAGCAATGTCCGCTGGGGCCTAGCACCAATCCTTCAGCCTAACTACTTGGTGCGGGATCACCCGGGATACTAGCAGCCTGCATGACACACCACCCTTTCCGTCCTTGCCACAAGTCTCTACCGGGCTTGACTCTATTGTAAATACAGAACTCGTACATCAAGATGTGTTTGCGCCTCCGGGTGATAGTAATTTGATGGCAGCACCAGAGCTGCCTCTAGTGCATGTGTGCGTGTTTTTTCTTGATATTCACCCTATGCTGGTGTCTTTGTTTGAGGTTTATGAAGTTGACGAAAAATTGGTAGCAAAGAAAACGGAGGTTTTTGTTGTTAGGCGGGAGATCGGGAGAGGTTTCAAAAACATCAAAAAATCGGGAGATCTTCTGGCTGATCGGGAGATTTGGAACCGCTACCAATGTCGATGGTGTCCTTTTTTGCGACCTCTTTGTACTCCGCTCTTCAGTACCTAATACCTTACAATGTCGGGATTGCATTCACTCCCCCAATAGCTTAGTTCTACCCTGCGTTTTTCATTCACGCTACGGTCTGTTTTATCTTTCTTATTTGGCTGAAGTCAGATAAAATAGAAATCCATCTGATATTCGCACTGCCGCATCCCCATTGCTATTTCGACATGCAGTACTTCGTAGAGTACCGATACATATTGTAACGGTATCACGGCCATTCGTACCCAGGGGCGCAGGACACAGGAGACGAGCACTCGTTTGTTTGCATTAACGTATTTGAACAAAGGACATGACGGGAAACCAGGGACAACAACTCCACTGGAAGGAACAAAAAGACTCAAAAAGACAAAACTCAAAACTCAAAAATCACGAATGCTCATATAACGCATCTATGCGAGGCAATAGACAGTTTGGGGAATGTCATCATGCAGAAAAACAACACATCGTTCTACATCACCTGCCCCATTGATGACATTCTAAAAAATCAGGACACGGAACAAACGAACACCACGTTCCACATGGACAACAGTCACATGTAGCAAAAGGAACCACAGCAAAAGAGAAAAACCACAAACGAACCAGCTGACATTGTATCAAAACAAGCCAAAACTTTATGCTATTTTGTATCATATAAATCACTGAAGTGATGGTTTTTGATCGCGGAGGGTGGAGGGATGTCTGCACCGGCAAATGCATTTTTAGGCAAGTACGAGTACACGTGCATGTATGGCGGTCTGGGTGTGGCACCATATTTTGGGAGTTGAGGGTACGAAACGTACATACCCAACTAGTAGTACTGAAGGCACACGTACACACGCACACATGTGATCAGATTCTTCTATTGCTCATATTCGGCACAGTGCGCCCCAGTGTGAAAAGCATGCCCCTGCCCATAATTGGAAATAATCTCCCGTAAACTGAAACTTCTGTCGCTGGTATCTTCTTATTTGCTGCTCCTAGATCCTGCCGACTTTGTTGTTTTTGACCTGGTGATGGGAGGGCAATTGGGCAGTGTCTCTTTAGTTGCATCCACTGGCAGGTTTGGTTTGCGTCTCCATATTCGCCTTGTGGCGACGCACATGGCAGTTGCGGTTGGAGGACTGTGAGAATGCCTGTTCACAGCCCAGGATAGTGCACTTGTACGGTTTATCACCTGTATGCGTTCTCTTGTGTCTGGTTAGTGTCGATAGCTGAGAAAAACGTGAGTTGCATCTGTCGCAATGATGTGGCTTCTCCCCGGTGTGTTTTCGGATGTGCACAGTTAGATTACGCTTATGCTTGAAGGCTCGTCCACACTCTGTGCAAGGATATGGCTTCTCGCCGGTGTGCACTGTCAAGTGTATTTTGAGCTGCGACGGACAAGAGAAACTCCTTTTGCATTGCGGGCAGACTATATTTGCTTTGGCAATTTTTTCAAGTTCATTTGTCGACGGCTGCTGTCCAAGTAAGTTACTCGGTGGTAGTGGCTCGCTGAGGTCATGGTGATGCTGTGGCATTACCTGCAGCCTGGGAATATGTGGTGGCTTGTGATGTTGTTGTTGCTGTTGTAGGCCTCTCGCTAGTGATGGTGATAGCAACACATCACTACCACGCGATGTCGCAAACACATCATGATTTAATCCTGTATTTACATCGGAGGACATAGCGGTAGAGACTTTTGGCAGGTAGGGAAAGATTGCTGTATCACTCAAGCTGTTGAGTAGGTTAGGCTGAAAGAGTGGTTCCGCCTGACCTGAGTTTAAGGAGAATGGTGTCGCTGAGTAATCAGGTTCTTTCATTGACGGCTGCTGCCCAAGTAAGGTGCTCTGTGGAAGTGGCTCACTGAGGTCGTGACGACGACTTGGTGGCATTTCCGGTAAACTTGGAATATATTGTCGTCCTTGCCTTGACACGACCATCGCATTCGTGTCGCCAGTAGGCGCAAACACATCATGAGGGAATCCTATATTTCCAAATGAGCTGACGCCTTTAGAAACTTGTGGCGGGAACGGAAAGAGTGCTGCATCACTCAAGCTGTTGGAAGTATGCTGGTTATCCGGCATTAGGCTATCCGGAAGGATCGGTGCCGTCTGACCTTGGTGGAAGGAGAATGTTGTCGCTGGGTTTTCAGGTTCTTTCATTGACGGCTGCTTTCCGAATACATTACTCTGTGGAAGTGACTGGCTGAGGTCGTGTGGACTTGGTAGCAAATCAAGTAAGCCAGTATTATTCGGCGGATGGAGATGCTGTCGTTTTGGCTGTAACGCTATTGCTAGCGCTGGTGCTGCCGTCAACGTACTATCACCCAAAGGCGCAAACGCATCATGATGTACGAGTCGTGTGTTCACATTGGAACCCATGCCCGTAAAGTCTTCTGGCAAGGAGGGAAAAAGTACTCCATCAAAGAGGTTGTCATAGTGCTGGTGATCCTGAAGCTGAAGATTTGGTGCCGCCAAATTTTGTAGGTAGGAGAATGGTGTCGATGCGCTGCGTGATTGGTCTTGTGGAACCAAAGCGTCGTGAGCGTAGGGGTTTGACGCTACACCACTGTGACTGAGTTGATCAAAGGTAAACTGGCTCATCCTGCTTGCGTTGCTATTGTCCATGGCAAAGACTAAAACTAACAAGGTGAAACGGAAACAAAATTGAGAGGTTCTGAACAACGGTTGCAGTGAATATGCAGGAATCTGGGTGGTGGTACGAGTTAATAGGGAGTTGATGGTGATGAGATACGATGTTGAGGTGCAGGTGGGAATGTCTCTCTGTTAGTGGTTCTGGAGTTATGCAATGTTAGTGCTGCGGATAGATACAGGTGAGAAAGGGGAAATTGTTAGGGGTGTAGGTGTGTAGTCTAACCATAGGTGTTGGTGTTCGTGGACGATAGACGTTGCAAATGTGGCAAGTCATGCTCGATAGGATATGTGAATCAGTGTGATGGTGTGCTGTATTAGTCTGCCATCAGCTGAAGGCGGGTAAGTGGTAATCTGGGCTAATATTGAAAGGCTGTGATTGAAAGTAGAATAGAGATTCACGTGTGCAATGCGTTTGTGCATGCAGCATTGTGTAGCTTTTTATTTTCGGAG